TTGTATACTCGCGAGTCTTTCGAACACAATGTAAACTGTATCCAATTATTGTAATCGTCCAACTATCGGCTATATATAATATATTATATATATACGTATAACGTATGATATGGAGTTCATCCACGTCTATTCCGCGTGCAATGTCAAGGGCAACGGTTTAAAACGGCGTTTCATTGTGATCATTACGCCGTATATAATATATACATAACCATACACACGCGTATTAATAATATATACCTATAGATATATATTATATGTACATAATGCATCAACACGAAACAATGGACATCTGACTACGATGGTATCTATACGTAAATAGTTCGACTAGATTCCGCCCCACCCCCCTCCCTACTAAAACTTGTAGGTAAATCTTCAAACAGTCTTATTTATCTCTCCTTTTTTTATCATTATTATCATCATTATTATTATTATTATTATTTACACATTTTTTTTTCTTCAGCCGTTCGCTTTTTTCGACAACCGGCAGATGATCTACGGTACGATAAACGCAGATTTGCGATTCTAGACGTCGACGGCAGGTAGTCGTTTATGAACGCCCGAAGCAAAGGTCAGGTCAAATGTTACGCGTCGTCCGGCCACGTCGTCGTCGCCGCCACCGACGTTATTATCGTATAATATATTGCCCAGTGTGTTACACGGGCGATTTCTTTATTTTCGAATCCTTAGGTACATCGGAAATGTGTATACAAATACAATATATTATATTGACCATTACTATTGGCAATATATTTATACAGCAAAACTGGTCGGAAACCTCGCAAACGGTTAGACTTCTTCACCGGTGGCGGATCGATCGTACATCACATATTATCATAATATTATTATATTATAGCACCGTTTTATTATTACACACGTGCCTCGGTATGTGGTTTCTTTTTTCGTATCTCTTATATATAAAAATATGGTACTTACGTAACTACTATCTGTACTATAATATTTTGTGTATGGACGGGCCGTGAAGATCACGATCCGTTGTCAACGGGTAGTCACTTTTTTTTAATGTTTTTTCTGTTTTTTTTCCACTCACCTTCAGAGTCACCATTGACCCGCAGGATATCAATAATATTATTTATCTATGTAGGTACCTAGTTGTTCCTAGGGCACGTCTGATACACCAGGAGTGACATTTGATTTTTAAAAGTAAAAAGTGTTTTTAAGTAGGTCGTTAATAATTAACATCATTGTATTTTTAGGTAGGTACCTAAAATAGATGGGTAAAAAATCTCAAGTCATAATTTTCAGACAATTTCGATGATTTTTTTTCGTAATTTTGTTTTTAACAGTATAAAATTGTTTAGAAATACTCAAGAATGACCAGATTTTGTCGACTATACCTTTCTTTCGTCGACTACCCGCGGTACCTTTCTTTCATGAGATCTATACCTATATATTATATTCTATAGAGATAAACAACGACACAATGTTTTATAACGCTAGTCGCTACCACATAAGTTACAAACAGTAAGTTGTAGGTACACTTGTATATTTGGGGAAAGGCGCCACTGTTGACATATAAAAAGGAATGTCCAGCTACCTAGTCCTTAATATTCAAATTTCAAATTTATGATCAATATATCTTTGTATCTTGAGGACTTATACATTTTGGTAAAATTAGTAAATTCCACATAATCACATTTCATAAAAAAAAGGGGAAGATAGGTACTACTTAGTTAAAATGCATAGCATTATTATATTTGTATGATACTACATAGTTACTAAATTACGTTATCGTTTGTTGCATAGCATCTCAGTGTATTTTGTGTTTTTCGATGTAGGTGTCTTAGAAAGTTAAAACATTTTTTGTTCTTTGGTCAAAAAGCCTTAAAATTCAATGCAAGTCTCCTAGTAAGATTTTTACATCGCTTACAAAACAACCGATAGTATACCTGTAAAATATAGACACCATTTCCACAAGCCCCAAAAATTAATTTTACTATTTTATACTATATTTAATACTATTTAATAGCTATAAAATAAGAACCAATTATAAATAATTAACAAAATCATTTATTCTTGTAAATCTATACATAGGATTATGACAGTATAGCCATCTTGATATTTACAGGTATGATTTTTTTTACTTAAACTCGTTCCCAAAAATACATCCCCTTTGCAGGTTCGGGGTTAGAACGGCTCAAAATTGATTTCCAACTGACGCTTTGATTCCGGCGGCGGATAGCAACTGTGCTCGGCCCAAAAGCGGAGATCCGACGTTGCCACGGTACATCGTACATGAAGTACGTGAGGCAAACTTGCCCTCACTGCTGTAGTTCTGTCACTAAAAACATCGGACGGACGAACTCAAGCAACCGTGGACTTACAACGAATTTGGAAGGACTGTCCGGTCAACAAAACGGGAATCCAGCCGGACACAAAAGCTAGGAGTGAACTATAGAGACTATCGTCTATCTCGCAAGCACAATAAAGAGCAGTGTTTTCCAAACTTTTTGCAAAGACGACCCATAAATTTAATATTTATTCTGTACTCGACCCCCCCAGCTAAAAAAAAAATCAAGTATGCCTTAAATAAATAATATTTTTATTATTATTAATTTTATCATTGAATTTTTATGTATAATTATACTGATTATCGTATTATTTTTTTGTGATTGTATAGATAATATTATTCGTGGGTACTTGAAACTTCTAAAGTAGGTAGGTACACTATTATATATCTATGATAGTATCAGGGTTTGTTGTTGATGTATAGGTAACGCGTTATAAGTACCTAATGGATATTGTGATATGATTAATTTGGAATTTATTATGGGTCAATTTTTTTTAATACCATAGATAAGTATATAATATGTCTTATACCTAGACTAACATAGGTACCGTCTCCGCTCAGAATCGTTTTTCTTATACATTGATATTATGTCATTGAATTCAAATTTAATACCATCCATTATACAGTGACCCACTTGTAACCTACTGTATAGCAGAGCACCTTTTTTTATTAATTTACCCACGGCAACATAGGCCATTGGGTGTTGTAATGGTTGGTCAGGACTTAGGAGCACGTGGTGGCATGTGTGGCAAGGTTTTTGCTCACTACGAACACGTGGATGGTCACCCATCTGAGTACTAAAGGCAGCGGCTGTTGCTTACCCTCAATCACGTTGCTTGATTGATTTCAGCCACTAACTGCGCCGCACTGAGCCACTATTGTTGTAGAGAAGACATTGGTTATTCACACTTAAAATAACGATTTCACATCAATCACGATTTTAGTTTTTTGTTGAAATCCAAATTTCTAACAGTATTAAATATAGAAACTTGAAACATTCCAATGTTACTTATTAATTACTATTTTATTTATAAAGTGTTCAATTTTTAAAATTATGGCTTGATATTGAGTTTGTCTATTCAAAAATAAACTATATTTGAGTAGTAGGTAAATAGTAAGTACAACATTTTGTATTGACATTTTAAGTTTATATTTTGACAAAATTAGATATTTAGATGAAGAATAACGATTTAGTCATATTTTGTTATCCAAAAAATAATTGTGGGGACTATGGAGCTCAGATTTAAATGCCCTTAAACATACAAAAAAATTCATTGATCTAAAAACTCTAAAAAAAAATGTCCCAGATAAATATAATTCTGGATGTCTTCAGGAATCAAGATAAATTTGTGAATCGTTTTATTTAAAAACCTGATTACCTTCTGTTGTTTTAATACAAAATGTGAAATTAATTATTATGTATATTTTTTTTCAGAATATTACTAGAAATAGGTTAAAAATGACCTACAATAATAATGAATGCCTTAAATACGTTTAAAAATGCATATTAACCTTGAAATATACATATAATATGGTCCAAAAAAGTTTGTCGTTAGCATAGTGTAAACTTGAAACACATTAGTGTATTAGCATTATGTCAAGTATTTCCGAAAAATGATGCAAATGCATAGAATCTGATATCTGAACCATAGTGGTAAGTTAACATTTTTTCGTACATTATTTAATTTTTCAATTTTACTATACACAATATTTACAAAACATTAAGCTATTGCATAATATTAAACCGTGAATCGACTGACACTGTTTTGAATGAATGAATTATATTATAGTATAATAATTAAAGTTTTTCAGCAAAAATAATTCAACCTACCATATTGCTGTAGTAAAATAAATTACTATTGTAGAAATATACTTAAATAGTATTTGCTATTTAGTAATAAAGACTGCCAGGTCATATCTGTTCAGAATCCCTTGCAATGATATCATTGAATTTACATTTAAAATCCGTTACAGTGATTTATGACAAAATACACTTGAGAACTACTTTTTAGTAGAGTGATTAACTACTAGCCCATTTTTTTTTTTTTATTGTTCTTAATTAACATCGGCAACAATGGTCATTAGTTACAGTTTTTTTCTTTAAATTTTATTGTTCAGTTTAGTTTTGTTGAATTTTTTTTTATTGCGTAATAATTAGTAATATATTTTTATTATAATCAACTTTTGTTGTAAGTTTATATTATCATAATATTATGATAGTGGTTGTGAGTGAGATCAATTTTATATAACATTGTTGCAAACAAATATCACGGATCTGGTTTTAGGCAGGCACCAGACAGGTGCATTATACAAAATTATACTCTGTGGTTTTACAAAAAATTTCTCCAGGCTCACTCTACCTTAAGTTCAGCTTTAAAGTACAGTCGAATCCGCTTAATTGGGACACATCGGGCGGTGACCTATTTGTCCCCATTATCCCAACTGTCCCGATTAACCGAAGAATTTTACATACAATACATTCATTCGGGACTGTCATTAATGTCCCCATTAAGCAGGTGTCCCCTTTAAGCGGATTCTACTGTACCAATTTTCAATTTTTTTCTAATATTCTAGGTGTATTGTAAAATATTACATTATGGTTATTGTATGAGAATATATATAAAAAAAAAAAAAATCGAACTAACTAATATATTTTAATAATTTATAACAAATCACTAAAAATTAATTTATACTAAAGACGTTGTTTCTTTTTAATCTCATCTTCATCATCTGAATCTGAATCTGATTCTGAGTCTTCTTCAGTGTTAACAAATTGAGATAAATTGATATTGAATTTCTCTCTTGATGCCGGAGTTTGGGCTAAGCACCTGAAATAAATAATTATTTATCAAATTATGATGTATAATAATATATTATAATTATTTATAAAATAAATACAACTATTTATATTAATGCTTAAATGTAGCAATATAGATGGTTCAAATTGAAGTTAACATGCTAATCAGACAAATATTCAGAATGATTTTGTTGAATCCCTAAACCTCTTTAATAAGGCCCTGTTATTATCATACCAATTTAAACTGTATATTTTAAAGGAAAAAATTAACTGTAATGCATATAAATACAAATAGTCCATTAAATAGATAATACTATAGTCTATAATAGTACAAAAAGTAATAACTCTGGGTTAATAAAAATGTTATAACAAATTAGTAAATAATTAGATCAACTAAATGGTACAAAAAATTTATTTTTGTCCCTATTCCCGTGGCCCATCCTATAATTATGATATTTTTTTTTTTTTAATTGTAATATAAATTATTTAAAATTATCTTTATATAATAGGTTGGTATTATATTTAATAAAAGTTAAGTAAAGCTTTATTTTAATATATCAAATTCAATTACCTTATAACAAATGGAGATGGTTTGGCTCTTTTTGGAGCTTTGGTCATAATATCCTTAAATAAGGTTTCAAAATTTTCAATTAGATGATTTGGATCATCTGAAAGCTAAAAGAAAAATGTATGATAATTAGTTCTATACTTTTGATAGTAAATACAAATTGTATTTTACCTGACCAATTTTCATTTCTACAATTCCTAAAGCTTCATCAAATGGATCCACTTGCATATTATATTTAATACCTTTTATGTAATGTTTTACCATGGCTACTAAATCTAATGTCAGTGAACCTGTAATTCAAATTGTTTTTATTATACTTTTCTAAAATGCCTTTAATATAATTGTAATAACAAACCATGCTGAAGACTTGGATAACGTTTCCTTAATAGTCCACGGATGGCAGGTAATTCTGTTAAAATGTCGGGATGAGCAAGTACATATTGAAAATCCGGTAACATTATAAGACCTCTCTAAAAAATAGAATAGAATTATTATAGTAGGTCTAGAGGAATTATTGCTAGGACTGAGGACTTCTAGTTTTTTGATATTTGTCTAGAATGGTCACAGAACAATGTTAGTGATGAATAAATGGGTTTCATACACAAGAAGGCGATGTTTAAAATTGTAATTTGCATATTTTGTCGTTATTGCATATAAATTCATATTTTAGTATATAAGACAAGTTAAGAGCATAATATTATAAAGGTATCAATTTAGAAAATGTTGATACTAAATATAATAATATAATATAATATAATATAAAAATCTGTACAAAAATATTATTTCCCGAATGTCTACTGTCAACACATAATATATAATTATTAATATTAACGGTTAGGTAATTTACATTGTGGCTACTGGCTGATAACATCGTTACAACTGTAGGATAGTAGGAGATAAACTTTAGTTGTCTGTCATAATTTATTGCATACCTACTGTCGGAAATCAATCAAGATTTTTCAAGTTTTTATAAATTTAAAATTATTAAAATTATATTATTTTCATGTAAATATTATAATTTAGGTTCTATATTTGTATTCAATTCAAGTTATTATTTAAATGATATTATTAAAAAATTTAAATGATATATGATATATTTTTAGAATGAGGTAATTAATAATTCAATAATATATGATAATATTGATTTATTTTCTATTATACAACATATTAACTTGAAACTGAATAACAAAATATTGTGACAAAGGTAATTAATTATACTAATAAGATTTTATATAATACCTCTATACTTTTAATAACTTCTTTGCCGCCCACTAGCATTGCACCAGCATTTCTAGCTTCTTCCATCATTTCAGCACTTTGACAAAATGCTAATATAGTTCTATCTTCCCCGTGGTCATAAGAATGAGGTAATTCAATTATTTTATGATATTTATCCACAAATTTATTTTTTTTATCTGTAGATAAGTCTATTTCAAGACGAACATTAAGAGGTGCATTAGGTACATTAATCATTGTTGGATGGTGAAGTTCACGATGAGCTAATATGGCTTCCAACAAATTATACCTATAATCATTTAATAAAATGAAGATTATAAATTATAAAATATGTGAGTGTAAATAATGTAAAATAGATCACAACTGACCTGCGCATTTGGTTAAATAATCCAAGATATACATCATCATTGGACGAACGCCAAGGAAATGTTTCAATTGTACGACTTGATTTTTCTAGTTGCCTATAAACAGTTATAACTTTAAAAAATACTCCAATTATTGTAAGAACAAATATTTGCCAATTGTTTTTAATACTATACATCAAATTATAAAATAAATTGGTGATGAATGATGGTCAAGTAACAAGTTTTTATCATTCAATATAATTTCTGTGAATACAAAACTTCATTCAGTTAAATGGCTACCTACTAATAGTTTATGGGTTGCTTAGGTTACTTTAAAATAGTTATAAAAACAAATTTTACTATTTATATCAAAAAATGTAGGTCAAGTTAAATGCTGGGTTCAACGTTAGAAGATAATCATACAAAATATCAACAGATAATCTTAAAGAGCTTGATTGTAGTACAGTGATTTGAAAATACAGAATAGAAAGATGTGTTAGTAACAACCAATGGATATTACACAGAAACTTGTTTAGATGAAAATGATTTTAGAAAATATTTAAAAACTAAGTCTAATATTATGGGAGAAAATAAATTTATAAAGTAAAATACTAGATACTAAATTTATCTCACAATATTTTAGTTTTAACTACATATTAATGTAGATATTTGAAAATAAAAGACATGTTTACTTGGGGCCAGTTGTACAATCTCCGATTAAAGTTAACCGAAGTTTAATTGGCCGAATTTGACCAGTTATAAAATCTGTTATCAGATAATTAAACGTAATCTAAGTGTAATCGTAGACGGTACAACTGGCCCTCAAACAGAGTTTACAACTGACTTTTTCTTTAATATAGGTATATATTTTCTTGCTTTGGCTAAGTTAGCGGCTCTGTTTTTTTTGTGAATTTTTGCTTTTCGCTCTCTGGTACATTTACGTGCACGATATCGAACTGGCAATATAGAAGAAACTGTTGGCAGTGAGCGAAATAAGTTACTAAAATCTAAAAATAAAATACATTAAAAAATGAACATAAAGTATTTCCACTTGTGTAACACTTACTAAACATTTCACCGTTTTACTATTCCAAAACCTTGTTAAAAAATGTTATTGTAGTACGTGAACAATTTCTGATCGGTCAAAGGTACCTGGTGATTATAATAAATCGAATATATTCATTTTATTTTCCAAAGAAAATTTGAAAGGTTTAAATCCAACATTCAACGTTTTTACTCTTTTGAAATCCTTATATCTTATACTTCTGAAGATCTACAAACTAAGTAAGTAATTAGTACTTTAGTAATAAGAACAATAATTAACTGATTTATTTAGTCATGATTAAAACTTAAGACGGTGAGCGGATGAACCCTAAACGGTGAACAAAATAAATGTTATAATGTTTATCAAAAAATATTATATTGTTAATAAAAAACATAACCTCACCAACTTAAAAACAGGGAACATATTATTATCATCACCGACCAATCGAATCCAAGCGATTATTATTACTGGTCACACTGATATCGTTCCTGTATCATGTTTTGTTTTTTCGTTTACTTAGCTATATAGCTGCTGCTGTCTAGTGTCTGAATGTCCGATGAATTTTAACTTTATGTATTTTTTAAACTCTGTGTTGTGAATGATTTTTTTGTAGATTAGTCATTACCATAGCCGTTTCCCTTTCTGCAGATCGTATTAAACGTTAGGACAACCTGTCGGACATTTGCAAAAACGGTTGGATTTGGTTAATAAAAGTAGCAGGTAAAATGATTGAATTGATTTTTATACACAAACAAAGACTTATTTACTAACAAGTGGCTCTAGTGGAGATGAAATGTAATACAAATTATTTTGGTTTTGGAATATTTCATCGGAATAAAAATGAATGATTAATTAGGAAGAAAAATATTTATTATTATGAAAATGCTTAGGTTATATATTTTTCTTTTAACAATAGATGAGTCTTACCTATTGTTTACATTTATATACCCAATAATTACCATATTGTGATAATAGTTTTTTTGTTTAAATTTCAATAGAAGAATTCATCTGTATCTTACATATTGATTATTAATATTTTTTTACAACCAACAGATTTTTGTAGTTGACTCAATGAACGATTCAACCGAAGAATGTTCTCCATTTAAAGATAGAAAGAAAAAGTAAATGATTTCACCCATATTTTATATTAATTTTTGTATTTGTGGTTTGTCTATAATTTAGTTTTAATTGTGTCTAGAACTCATATGTCGTTAAATGATAAAAAACGTTTAGCTCGGGAAAAAGCTGAACAGTATAATAGCAATGGCAGGCCTTCACGCCAATATCATATGTTAACTGCTGAAGAGGTGAAACAGGGGAAAGAAACTCGTTGGGAACAATTGGAAATAATTGGTATATTATATTGTTTTTATGTTTTTAATTAAATATATAATTTTAATATTTTAATGTTGTGTGAAATTCTTAGGTTGTGTAAAAAATATAAGTCCTTCTTTATGGAATTTGACGACATTAACAGGACTTTACCTCAATGACAATCAATTAACACGTTTACCGCCAGATATATCAATGCTTGTTAATTTAGTATATCTGGATTTGTCTGGTAATAAATTACGTAGTTTACCTGCTGAACTTGGTGAATTAGTGTATCTCAGGTAGAAATAACTTTGAACATTTTGTAAAATTATTAATTTCAGTAATTTTAACTGTATTACATATTATATTGTATTTCAGGGAATTACACCTGGGTTATAATATGTTAAGATCACTGCCACATGAGTTGGGGCGTTTATTCCAACTGCAAGTATTAGGTTTAGCTGGTAATCCTCTATGTCAAGAAGTAATGAAGTTGTATAGTGAACCAAATGGCACACATAGATTGCTTATGTATCTGTTAGATAGCTTACAAGGTAAGATAATATATTTTATAAGTAGTATTCATAGTGAATCAGTAAGTTTTAATATTTAATATTATGAAAGTTAGGTACACTGTAATATTTTAAAAGTTAGGTTCACTGGCATAATTTCAGGTTTCATTAGTTGGGTTCAACATTTTGACTGGCTCTTACAAATATTAAAATATGTTTGTTTTTCCCATTGCTTTTATTTATTTATGCAATATAAGTAATTTTCCTGGCCAGACCATTTCAGCGATTTCGTTGAACTGACATTGTAGAGACTCGTTATTATTTCTCCCTCATATTGACTGTATTTGATATTCATAGAAATATTTATCTTCGAAACACAGTGAAAAAGTTATTAATGATTGGCGATATCCACTGTATTGAATTATTTATTTATCAAAAAAAATATAATTTTCTATCTCTGTACCTATGTTTATTTTTAAATTAATAATTTGATAGTTGATTGAATTTCTATATTATTATTTTTAATTATTAGTTAAATTATATTGGTTCATGGTTTTTTCCAAAATTGTTTTTAACATGTTGACTGCTATGTGACCACCGGCGGTCACACAATATGTATTATTGACACACCAAGTATATTTTACCATGTCATTCCAAATTTGCATATGCTATTGTATTTCAAAAAAAAAAGATTAAAATAATTAAAAATAAATAAATGTTTATTACATCAAAAAATTGTTATGATTCCCACTGCGATATTTTTAGTACATCATCGTAGTGCCATGGAAAAGAATAATATAATACCATATTAATTTACGGTCCCTGGCGGCCATGTGACGTGGTAGTAATGAGCAACTACGGGCTCAAGTATACAATTTGAGAATTACAGATGACTGCCGGCGGTCACATGCTAGTCAACGTGTTAAAATATAAATCGGTTATCTGTTCTATACCAGTAGCATATATCAAGGAAAAGTGGTATCTGCCCATCTTTAAAAAATATACTACCTACAGGCTACAACCAGAGAGACTAGAATAAGGAGATATAACACGGCCGCCTACTTGGAAAACATTAATTGGCCACAGGCTGAGCTGCAGTTTTTTCCGTTGCTACTTTAATTCTTATAGGAATTGTTAATGTTATCTACGGTTTTTAAAAAATGTATGCAATATTGTGAACTATGACAGATAATATTCTTAACTTTAAGTTTGATTATGGGTTAATATTAAAGCTAACACAAGATTGGTTTTGCTGAACACAGATTAATTATGAATTAATGTCAGAGGGAGAGAGAGTAAATAAACAATTGGTGGGCTGACATACTTTGAACGAATTGTTAAATTGTATTATTTACATAATAATAATACAATTTTAGATGAAGTACACTAATTATTATGAATGTTTCATGGTTCAAAATGCTACATATTATATTTTCTAAAAAATATAAAATTATGAATAATACCTATATTATACAGGTATCAGTAGCAATGGATAAGTGATCAGACGTTCAGACCTTAAGGGTATCGGGGCCGATTTTTCCAATATTTCGCAATTCTATAAAAATAGAAAATTATTATTTATATTTTTGTTGCTACTTTAATTATAATACTTTTCTACTTATCTACTGCCCGATACTTATTTAAGAGGGGTTGATACGGTGTATTATATCAACAAAAGAAAGACTCCACGGGATAAACTTTCACCTTTAATTGATATGTCGAATTCTGATCATTTTTTTATCCGAGAAATGAGACCTTTTTTGAGGTTGGATCAAAGCCCTAATTTTCATTTTCCTTTAAATAATACTAGAAAAAAATGTTTGGAAAATAACAAATATTGCAATAATACATATTGAATAATACATTTATTTGAATATTATTCAAATGCACATTTTAGATTCAATAGTTTTAATTTTGAAAATCTAGCTTTGATCCTGTAAAGTGTTTTCTTCTTTTAAATAAATTATAAATTAACAAAATTTGTCTATTTTACAGGGAGTGGGAGTTTTTCTTTTAAAACATGTTTTTTTTCTATAAAATCACCGGCCCTGACGTCCTTAAGCTATTTAATCGTGTCTTTTTGAGATATTTTCAGTAGAAGGAGAATGGTCTTCTTTTTCTAGTCTGCACGCCTACAATAACCAACAATACTAAAAACCTTTGAACAATATTTTTAATACTCATCAGAAAAATATTAAATTAAGAGGACGTCTCACCCGCATGTGTTGTCTCCATCTTACACACGTACGACATAGACAAAACGCGTTTAGGCAGTCTGAGTATAACTCGCTCAATTTTGGTTCTAGAGTAAAAATGCCTATTATGAAATTGAATTGTAATAATATTTCTAAGGGCAAGACGCTGCGGTTTTTCCATTATACCCAATATAACGTTCATTATATCGTTTAGAAATAGAAAAAATTTCACCATTTTTAAAATACCTTTGACTTTTAAAAAATTAAATTTTTTAAAAAAAAACCGCAGCGTCTTGCCCTTAGAAATATTATCACAATTCAATTTCATAATAGGTATTTTTACTCTAGAACCAAAATGGAGCGAGTTATACTCAGAGTTCAGACTGCCTAAACGCGTTTTGTCTATGTCGTACGTGTGTAAGACGGAGACAACACATGCGGGTGAGACGTCCTCTTAAACATAATAGTTAATATTATTATTATTTATATTGAGACTTGAGGGACTTAATAATGTTAAAGAATAAGCATGGCTCTCATACAACCTTATTACAATAGTGTGGAAAGTTTAATTCCATGTATTCTTAAATTTTGTTCCATTTGTTTATTATAGTTTTTAACTTTCAATGTTCTTAAACCTTTCATTGCTGCTTGTATAACATATTTTTTAAATGCTATAAACGTTTTAAAAAATCTTATCTGTTATATAATACAATGCATCTATTAAGATGACAAAGGCTATCAACTAAGCTTGCCTCTCCTAAAAACTATTGTTTATTAAATTATGCATTACTAATTATTAGTATATTGTTTTGTTGCTATTATATTAGTATGATATATTTTTTAATAAGATTATTATGATTATGATACACGTTAAGATTTGTGGCAATGCCAATCAACTATTTAGTTGAAAATTATTTTTTAATTTATATACCATCGGTTAGGTTGGTGCATCATTTGCCTTTGGTCAATAACGACGACAAAAATAATTATTATTTCTGTTAATGTCATGAAAATCAAATTAGTGGTAATTGTGTATAATATGTGTGTGAGGGAAAATACATATATTTGTAAACCCCTCCCCAATCTTGAGTTTGTGTCTGGTATAATAATATGAATTTGTCGATACAAATATACAATAACATTATAATACATAGTAAATAAAAAAAATTTAAACAACATAAAAACTGTTAGTTCAAAATAGTGACAAATAGTTTACGTTCATGTTCTATATTTTGATATACCTAAGTCAAGTGTTGTTCTTGTGTTGACTATAAAATAATATGAATGTGAATGTGAAATCACTTAAGTGTTCTTTCCGAACAATAAATGTTCTAATATATTTTTTAACTTCTTTATGGTTGTTATTGCCAATAATTATCTTAATCTAGTAGAAGATTGTAGAAATTTAATAATTTGAAGTATAAATGTAAAATTAAGAAAATATAAAATTTCAAACTATTCTTTTTTTTTAAATTTTGATTCATATTACTACAAGATTATGTATTTCTATATATAAAACATGTTATTGTACTAAAACGTGCCGGTTCCGGTTGTTAAGTATAATATAATTAATAAGCATTTTTTCTAATTTCCATTTTGCGATCACCTATTATGTTATCATTTATGACAGTGTTGACCAACTAAGGCCCACGATAATTTATTAATAGGTAGGCCCGCCAAAGTATTAAATCAAAATTTCAAAAAAAAATAATTTCAAATTTCAAAAATGTAACCATGTGACACACTCACGACCTTATGTTGTACATCATGTCATCATCTAAATATAAATAACATTATCAATAAAATATAATATTCTATACACTTAAAAGAAAAAGTTTAAATTCTAGTGGAATTTTTTATTTATGGCCCTCAGTAAAAAAAGGTTGGTCTCCTCTGCTTTATGATATCATAGACAATGGTATTCTAAATTTGGGTTAAGTAGACATTTAAAGCAGACATTTTTGTATTATGAATTTTGATAAAAATAGTTGAATTTTTTCTGGATGTTGTGTAGTTGTATTGAAATAGTAAGTTTTCCTATGTTAGGATAAAAAAATTATATTACTTACAGCAGGATTTAAATTGTTTTTCTATGTACTTGCTGTTCTTATGCATACAATTTTGTTAATGCTGCAAACGTTTCTTCAAACCCTCTGGGTAAAATGTTGTGTCATTTTTGTGGAACTTTTAGATAGACGACGTAACTGTGAACCTGACTTAACATTACTCAAATACATAAAAAAATAACAATTTTTCGTGAATTCGTTTTGTATAATATTATAATACTATAATATTACATATTATGTGACGTGTGGGCCAGAGAGAGAATTCCAGTGTTGCAACTTGCAACATCCTCTTAACAAATGTTGTACTTTTTCCGATATTAAAAATAATTCTTTGAAGAAAATTATCCAATAGTGAAACTCAAGTTACCATACACAGGTTGCTGAAATCACATGGCATTCTACCTAGATCATAGAGAAACTTGCGTCAGATTAATAGATTCCCTATCAAAAATGTATATAAAAACGTCAATTATTTGGAAAAATAGTTAATTCTGTTTTAGATTTATAATAATTTTATTCAATTTTGGGGAGATTTTAGATCTATTCTATTTGGAATTTTACTTTTGTTACCTTTCGTATTATGAAAATATTGTTATTAAAACAGTCATGTTAAAAGACAGTTTTTCGTTGCGCTAGTCATGTAGGTAGCGTGGCCGAGTGGTCTAAGGCGCTGGTTTTAGGCACCAGTCCGAAAGGGCGTGGGTTCGAATCCCACCGCTGCCACAAACTTTTGCAATTTTTTCCTCTTACTACTTTTATTTATTGTTATGCATTTAAAATTCAGAATAATCTATTTTATAATTAAATTTATAGTATCATTATATTTGTAATTTGATATAACTTGTTTCAAAATTAAAATACCAAAAAAAGCACGGCTCAAATATACAACTGAAATGAGGGAGATTAGATTTTTGAGAGAAAAAATAAAGCCCTAAAGGTATAATTTTAATGCATAATAGATTATTATGGATAACATTATGGATACGATTTTATTTCATTTGTGGATTTTTAAACGTATAAATTATCATATAAATAAATACATAAGACATAATATTTACATGGGGAGGGGGGGGGGATTAACCTAACCAGAAAATACCAGAAAAATATTTGATTTTTTGATAACCTTAAATGTACCTTATTAGAACATTTCAATCGTCTTCCGTTTTTTACATCTTTTAAACTCCTTGTTATAGAATTCGTTTTGCATGTGGTTAATGAACCGGCACCTAAGTCAATCCGTGACTTATCAGCAAATAGGTGATTCAGTAAACTACTTAGATATAATATACGGATATTGATGAAAATACCGGTGGCAGCGAAGAAGTAATAATCCTAATAATATCCAATAATAATAATAATTATAAATATTATCTGATCTTTAAACGTTTCTCCGGATATTATATTCAAGAATAAAATTGCTTATATTTTCAAATGATATTTCTGTTATTTATCTACACTTAAATTTATTCACAGTTTATTTTATAAGTTATTTGCTTATAATATACAATGGATATCAAAAATAATAATAATAATAAAAAAACATCCAATTGCTTACAAAATATCAACTATATACAGGCCCAATAATATTACACGTAAATAATTTAGTGTTCCAAAAGTATCAATTTTAAACGGTAATAAAACGATATCTTATATAGGTACTGTATAGGTAATCTATCGAGGAAGGAGTTGCTTATAATGTATATTTTGAGTTTTATATATATAAGTATTTTACGTTAGTTTAACTAATATTGCTGAGTAAAATCTGGTATGGATAATATGGATTTATCATTATATATTACTATATACATGGCTAATTGGTTCATAGTGAGTAACTATATAGGTACCTAATGTATAACCTATATAAGTTTGACTAATCAGAATATCGCGATTATATTTAATATTGCTATATTATCGGCTAATTACTTTTTTTGTCGAACAGAATGCAGCTTTCCAATTATTCAAGTATTTTAATTTACTCTTTCAAAAGTATGCAATGGGGGTATATCTAACAATACCTAAAACTATTTTACAGTGAACAACTATTTTTACAAGTGTCGGGTCAACACTGTTGAGGATGTGTATATTTATAATATTCATAACGACTTGATGCGATCCTTGAGTAAATAAATAAACAAATGCTTCTAATTGTTTGTGCGTTTGGTTTAAAGTAAAACGCATGAAATAATTGATGTGTCGTGTGTACACTGTATATCTAACATACTTTTAAAAATTACATATTAATTATCGTTGATAGAGAATAATATCGGGTACAAACAACAAATTCGGTATACAATTCAAATAAAAAAATATATACACGTAATATTATCGTATTTCCGACAAATTGGAGAGCAACGAAAACACTCAAATCGCGTTTTCATATCGATATGATGATACACGTCTGCACGTGCAGTGTACAGCGCTGAAGTGCGTTTCTAATTTCACTTTTATAAACGGACGTCACTATAAGCGATGACCACATGGTTTAATTACACTCCATACTCCATAGTCCTAACTTTATTACTTATTATTATATAGACACCTATGGTTATGGTTAAGTCAAATTGAACATAAGTGCCACATAACGAAAGGCGAAATCATAAGGTACCGCGCTTTATTCGATGCGTGGCCATCCTATTATAAAACGGATAGAAATAAAAGGGTTTCAACGGTTTCAACGGCAACTTTCCGGATACGTCTGCAGTTTCTGAAGTTGCTATCCGTTTAGCAAGCGGTGTACTAGTGATCTGGAAACCATGCGATATTAACGGTTTTCACCACTGATCGTTTTCTCTATGTGCTGGCTATAATATTGCTAAGGCCACGACATTGATGTAATACAAATGTCCTAAAAAAAATAGATTAATGACATAAAAAACACAGAATATTACTTTAAAAAATCACCAGTCTAGGTATAAGACATATTATTAACTAATCTATGGTATTAAAAAAAAATTGACCTATAATATGTACCTTTGTAATGTAATTATTTACGTGGAACCTTGTCTTAAATTTTCAATCTTTAGATATAAAAGTTGAACATTTTATACATTTTTAACTACAAAATAATTATTCAGTTTTAAATTTGATAAATTTTGTCAAAATTCGATCTTTAAATGCTTATAAAAAAAATTGTGCTTGTGTCTTTTTAATATTTTTCAACAGATGTTGTAACAGCAAATCAGGAGCCTTGTATTAAATTTTACACTTTTTGGCCCAACAGATCTTTATTGATATTTATAAAAAAAATAACTAATAAAATTGAAAACTGAAAATGTCCGTAAACAGCTCAAAAAGAGTCAAAATATTTTCAAAATTGTATGGTGTATAGGAAATGCTAATATAAACATTCAGTGAAATTTTCATGTATCTACAGTTATTCGTTTTTGAATTAC